ATTGACCTAAGATCCAGGGGATCATGGTTTGATTCCTGGTCAGGGCACATACCAGGGTTGAGGCAGCCGATCAATGCCGACCCTCTCATCATTGATGTTTCTGTCTCTCTCTCCCTCTCCTTTCCCCTCTCTCTGAAATCAATAAAGATATATTTTTTAAAAATACAACATAGAAAGAGAAGGGGGTGTTATTTCAGATTGAGAGTTCAGGTAGTAGCTCTCTGAGGAGGGGGTAATTGGAGAAAAAGCAAAGCAGCAAGAAGGAGCAAGGCAGTTGGAAATGTGGGTGCATGGGCGAATGAGTGAGTGAGTGGTAGGGAATGTATAGAGATGCATCAGAAAAAACCTTAAGTTGTCAGCACACAAGTTAACTAGGAGGCAGGTATCTGTTATAGCTGGAATCATGATAGAAATAAATACCTAATGGCTCTGAAAATGAACCCTGGACATCAGCAATGATATCAGCAGCACAGGAGAACTTGTAATAAATGCAAAGCATTACATCCCACCCCAAACCTACTGAGTCAGGATTCTTGAATTGAAGCCCAGTGTCTGGTAGTTTAACAAAGCCTCCAGGTGATTCTAATGCAAATAAAGTTCTGAGAATCACTGCAGTACATAGGTAAGCATAGTACTGTTTTATAAACAGAAGCTACCAATGCTGTTGAAGGCCCACTAAAGCAAAGGTAATAAATTAAGAAAAAAGGAACACCCTTAGACAAAAAAAGAGCACTTGCTCCTCAGAGCTAACCTCTGAGATGGGGCCCCAACAATGCTGAGTCACAAGCATAGATTCTTTCATTGAGATTTCTCAAATGATCTTACCACAGATCATTAAAGAACAAGCATATGGTAATTATAATATATAAGGATACTATGGTTTTCCTTATAATTTAGTGTGAAAAGTAAAAAATTGTTAATCAGGTAACCTGTAAGCTTAATTCTGCTGCTGTAGGAAGTTGGACAAGCTGTATTATCCCTTCTGCATATAGATTTATGAATTTCTATTCAGTTACTGACAGATGGAGCAAATGTGAAATAAGGTGAGGAAATGTTCAAAACCATTGACTGAGAAGAACCTAGCATTAAAATGAAGAGTCAGAACATTCTTTACGAATTCTCCATCCTATGTTTACCCTACACTGCCATTGTATGTATTTTAATTAGAGAAAAAAGTTAACATTTCTTTAACAAACTGAAAGGTCCCTCACTTTACCCATCAATTTCTAATGCATAGATACAAGCACAATGAATACCCATAGTGTAAGCAGAGTCAGAATTCCTGACTTTATTTCACTTACTTATCATTTGAGAAAATGGACCTATAAAAAGGCATTGAAATGCTCATATATGTGGAGAATATTGTTTTTGTACATATTGCACTAAGCTGACTGCCTAGAAGAGGAAGTTTTGTGAGTGTGTGTGTGTGTGTGTGTGTGTGAGATTATGGGATGGTTTTTCTTGTTTTAATTTTTATGAAACATTTGTTGAGTGAATGGAATTAGTGTTAAGAAGCAGAAGAATATAGGTGAGAAAGCAAGGCATCTGTTTGTGGTCCTGGCTTCAGCACAAAAACACTTAAATTAAAAATACTTAGATGGAATTCGGGCTTAAGCAAGAGATATTTTTCCAAAGTGTCAAGAATGAACTATGAGCTTCTTCCTTATAGAAACTATTTATTTGGGTTTGTCAGCACAATTTCCATCAGATGGAAACTTGTGGCATCATAGAGCAAACAAAATGGGACACCATGCTGGACTTCCTAACACCAATGTCTACTTTCTTCAGCAACAGCATTAGGATTCAGATCAACAGCATTAAGAGCCAATATTGTGCCATGAGAGTAATATGAAATAACACGAGAATGGTTTTATGTTCACAAAGGATTCTCCTCTCACATGATATCCATACACTCACACAAACCATGCTGATTTCAGTTTACCCTTGCACTAAAAAATGAAAATGGGAAAATTGTACTAATTTTAATAGTATACCAATTTTATAGGTTTAATTGATGATAAAATAAGATAGTGAATGAAGGACTTGCAGAGTTCCTAGTATTCTGTAAAGTACTTAGAATGTAAATAATAATTGTTAATATTTGTCTTAAAGTTACTTACCATGATCAAATGCAAGGCGTGTTCTCAAAGTGATTCTTCGAAGATTTAGAAAGAATTGCAACTAATCTTAATTACCCTGGTTTATCAATTTACTTCATCATTCTGCTACCATCCATCTTGCAAGAAGAAACAGACTGTCTTTTTAAACTGTATTCACAAATGAGCAATTCCCCATATCATTCTTCTCCTCAAACTTTTCCTCATCTCAGCTTGTCTACCTTTGAGGGGCATAGAATCCATCTGCTTAGAGCCTCAGGTGCACCTCTATCACTCTGTATTTAAGGCAAGGTGGACTTTTGTGGTGAGTTATCAGCCCGTCTCCTAATTGCCCATTTAATTGGCTTTATCTATTATGACAGCACATTTGAGGAATTCTTCAGGAAACTCATCCAATAGCTCTGCAGATGAAGAGCCCTTTTCCTTCCTCTAAATCTTTAATATACTGTACTTAAAAACATGTTAACACTATTTACAAATGAGCACTAATAAGGGGCAAATGGCTTTACCCCTTTCCTCTCCAAACCCCATGCTATGGACTCACCCACAAGGAGACAAGAGCTGAGAATATTTCTCACCCTCCTCCAGTGGAGGGAAGTTCGCAGTGAAGAGACATTTTACAGCAAATCAGCCAATTCCTGGACATCATCCCTTGATGAACAAAACAGGCACCATGGGATTTGGGGCAGCAAGTGCCTTTAACCATGTTGCTGCCAAACGAGTTTTGTCATGGGCTATAAAGAGACTCCGTAGTGATTGGAAATCCTTTAACCCTTCTGAAGTCTGTCTCGGTTACTGAGCACCCTTATATTGTGGTTAAAAAGTAATTGGCTGTTTGAGATACAAGCTTCAACATCAGAAAGACCTCAGCTGAAGGTGGTCTGCACTGGTAATTATATAAGTTGCACCAGCTCTTTGAGCCTCATCTTTTGTACCTATAAAATAGAATAGTACTACCATTGGGATATTAACAGCATATGGCTGAGGTGAAACTGTGTGTGTGAATCTCAACTCTGTCACTAATAGCTCTGAATATTTGGACATGTTATTTAACCTCTCATTGCCTCAGTTTCCTCATCAGTGAAATGGGCACAGTGAAAAAAACGAATGCACATCACTGTTGTGAATTAAATAGGGTATTCCATTAAAAACCTTATAATAGCTTGTCAATAGTCAAATAGTTATTATTGTTTTATTATTATTATTTCATAATATATTGTATTCAATATAATATATGCAAATACACCTTTCCTAAACAAATCAAACATTAAACATTTAATACATTTTATTGTTATTATTATTATGTTCATACAAATGCAACAAAAACCCTTTTTATTGTTGCAACAGAAATAATAAAATTTCAGTAAAATGAAGGACTTCTGACTTCAAGGACATATGTCTGTAGTTAAATAGAAATCACAAATTTAGCCACAGCACTGAAAACAAGACAGGTGGCCCATGTCTTACAAAAATAATGTTTTATAAAATTATTTTATTTCACAATATAAATGGAAAACAAAGCAAAACAGAACAAAACCCTGTTTGTTGTGGGCACACTTATTTGTTAAACCCTTGAGTATGAATGCAAGGGACTGGGGAGGCTCCCAAAGCTTTCCACTTCAATGTAAAATGTCATAAAGAAGTAATGGGTATAGAACATATTCCAACAAATAAACAACTCTAACTCTGGGCAGGGTATGTAAAATACATCAGACATTGAAAAAGAGACAGTGCTTGAATATTTCATATTTCTAGTCTCCACTTAAAGCTCATCACTTCAAAGATGTGTTTCCTGAAATCTCACTGATTAAGTGGACTCACACGTCCTAGTGTCCTCCCTCTAAGCTGCACTGTCAGCCATTGAAGCACCTGTGACTTACTGGAGAATTATATGTTGAAGCCTATTTCTCCTAATTATTTAAACTTTTCACACCAAGGAAGCAATATTTTGTTTTGTTTTCTGTATACTTTAAATAGGAGGTGGCCCAGCAGAGATGAATAAATATCATCTAAATGAGTGACTATGTAGGGGAGAAATCAAATATTGGTAATATTCTTCCTTTTGCCTTCCCCTCACAACATTGTAAATAACTTTATAATATAATCTGATTATATTAGCACTTAAGTGAAATGATTGTTTAACCTATTACTGGTTATGATTTTAGTACAGCCATTCGATCAGAGAAGTTAATGGAAGCTTTAGTCCAAAAATAGACCATGACAAAGTGAGCAAATCAATTTCTCTAGCTTTGACTTTTTTCTGGAAGCCTAGTCAATTCTCATAAAAATGGACTTTTTCAAATATTGTCTAAAGTATGGAGGGAAAATTAACTTGTATATGGCATCTACTGTTCAAGAACTACAGCATCTTATAGTATCTTGTTTATCTATTGGAAGTGAGGAGCAGGACTTTAGCTTCATTCAAAGGGCTAGATACAGTTAAAATGCAAATCAGAAGAAAAACGTATTTTGATTTCACATACTTGCCAAACTTTCAGAAAGTACAATCAATTAAGACCCCTTTGAGCTTAATTTTGTGGGATTCTAGGTTTTTAGTTGAAAGATACTTTAGATGTCATTGACTCCTACTCTTCTAATCTGTTTACTTTTACATGCAAATGATACTCTCTCCTGAAGCTGCTAGTTTCCCCTATAATAGCTCAAGGTTTCTCAGGCTGCTGTTTGCAGAATAAGAAACATGGTTTTCCCCTTTGTACAGGGACTACTCTGATGGCTGGGGAAGCATCATAACGTATTCAGTCCATTTTTTTTTTTTGATAATTAATTGATCAGATGAAAGCTACTCTCTGCTTCCTCTCTGCGATGTCTTCAATCAGCAGGCTGACTATCACACCAATATTTTGTCCCTGAGGCTGAGAGCTTTTAGGAGCGGAGCATCTTCAGAATGCGTACCCGGATCTCTTTGGTTTTTACACTGTAGACAATTGGGTTGAGCATTGGAGGTACAAGAAAGTGCAGATAGGAGAGAAGCACGTATACCTGAGCTGGAAGTTTCTTTTTCCCGAAGCGATGGATCACCGACAGGCTGACTAGTGGGGTATAAAAGAGTAGCACAGCACAGATGTGGGAAATGCAGGTGTTGAAGGCTTTGAGCCGCTCAGCATTGGAAGCGATGCTCAGTACTGTCCTCAAGATCAGCACGTAGGAGAGGAGAATGAGTACAGCGTCTGTCCCCAACGTGGAAAGCATGACAAAGAGCCCAAAGCCACTGTTCACACGAGTGCTGGAAAGGGACAGCCTTAGCACATCAGGGTGAACACAGTAGGAATGGGACAAAGCGCCCATCGGCTGGAACTGCAGCCTGGCGAGGAGCACAGGCAGGGGCAGGTGAAGGGCAGCGCCGCGGCTCGCAATGGCCAGCCCAATGGCCCCCGTGCGCCGGGCTGTGAGGATGGTGGCGTAGCGTAAGGGCTCTCGGATAGCCACGCAGCGGTCAAAAGCCATGGCCAACAGCACGGCTGACTCAATGACTGAGAACGTGTGAATGAAGAAGAGTTGCGTAAAGCAGGTTGCGGCTCCCACCTGCCTCTGGCCCAGGAGAAAGACGGCTGCCATTGAAGGAAGCGTAGAAGCTGAGAGGCCCAAGTCAGCCATGGAAAGCATGGAAAGAAAGAGGTACATGGGTGTGTGAAGGCTGGGCACAGACTTGACAATGTACAATATGATGATGTTGCCCACAAAAGAGAGACCGTAGATAAGGCATATAGGAATAGCTGTCCAGAAGGGAGCAGTCTCCAGCCCTGGGAGATCCATCAGTATGAAGAAGAAGCTGCTGGCATTGTTGTTGCTAGGAATTGCCATAATTCTGGGAAGGACTTGCCTGGAAAAATTATTGAGAAAACAAAAATAATTCTGTCACATCATTTTCCTATCATTTCATCCCCCTTGGCGCCCACAGCCCTTCTTCTTCCAGTCTCACAGTCCCACTCCTTTGGGCGTTTGCAATAGGGGAGAGTGCTGTCTCTCTTCTGGTGGTTTGCCTTCATTTTCAGAAGCATATTTGGGTCATTCAGATAGAGAAAATTCCTTCTTCATGTGAAGATGTTTCAAGGTTTGAAAAATACAAAGTGAAACTTTGTTGAGAGCACAGAGTTTGTGTGCTTAAACTACATTAGTTTTAATACCAGAATGTAAAGTTCTAAAGAAACCTAGATAAGGGTAATTGTATTAACAGCTTTTTGGGAGTTAGAAAATAAAGTATAAGAATGTTAATACTGACTCTGAACTCCTGATATTACCAGATATATGTTTTGTTCGAAAGGGATTCAGAAGATAAATAACAATATCTGTGACAAGAGGAGGGGTTTAGGCTTGATGTGTTGTTTACTGGACGTGAATCCTTTCTAAATCTTTGTTACAGGGTGCTCTCTAAAAATGTTTTCATGGCTGGTACATCTATGTGAGAGGAAAACGTTGAAGACTAGATAATATTTGTAGCTGGAAACACAATATCTATTTTTATGGCATCACACATTTGCTGAGCTCCTGCTACGTGCTCAACATAAGTAAGGTAATGAATCAGTATAGAGCTTCTGCCTTTGGAGCTTTGGAACCCACTGCTCAACACAGACACATCCATAAACTAGTTCACAGGGGCATTGTCCATGGGACAGATATAAGGTCCCAACTGTGAGTCCACACCCTGCTTTCTGTGACTCACCTTTTTCAAGAATAATCTTGGGCACCTTGAAGAGCATTCAAGACCAATGATGAAAGAAGGGTATAGAGTGTGGAGTCTGAGCGCTTACAGTTCAAAGGAAGCTTTGGTTACATATCTCAAGTCCAAATAAATGATGATTTTTCTCCCTCAGCATCTTAGGAAAATTCTCTTAACAGTGAAGACCTCAACATCTCCTTGGACAGTCATTTATGTGGCAGTTGTCACCAGTAGAACAGTCTTTATTATAATCTAATTCTCTTTTACAAACTAATTATAATGCTGCTCTATAGTGTCATGAAGAATACCTACAATCTCCATTCCACACGTTAACTGTTAGTCTAAGGAAAATGCAGAGAAGAAATTCTGTGAAGTGTGAGCAATCGTGTCAGAATTAAAACAAGCATGACAATTGAACAGTAAACAAATATTGGTGGTAATTATAGGGCAAGTAATAGAGGAATAATAATAAGTTAAAACCCCATTTATAATAAAAGCAAAAAGCAGAGGCAGACCTATCATATTTGAGAAAAGATTTGTAATAGAAAGAGGAGAACTGGGTTTTTGAGTGGGTATACCTGTGGAGAAGTGAGGGTGGGTGAGTATTAGGAGTCATCTATGCTCTGATGAAAACCTTCTCTGAATTTTGGTTACAGAGGAAGAAGGAGGTAATGAATAGATTTTTATATCCATCAACCTGCCTCTGACAAGCTTTACTTATAGGCTGTTTATCACAGTGTGTTTTCAAAAGTAAAGGGAAGCATTAGCCCCCAGAATGTAATAGACTGAAATTCTTATAAATGTAGAAAGCTTATCATTATTAATAAAAATAAAACATTAGAATTAATATTTTTGGGCAAATATTTAACAAACTAATTTGAATAAAATAGCAAATCCATTCCTGAAGCATGACAAGCATAGGAAAGAGAATCGTTTTTTATTCAGAAGACATGCCTTAGGTGATATGTGACAAGCTGGTGCTCCATTTACAAATGGGAATCATCTGGGGGGCTGCTTGGAAGTCTTTTTTTGACTCCATCTTCTAAGAATGTCAGAGGAGAGAAGGTGCTACTCTCAGACTCTTAAGCTTAGACATAGGTACCTGAGTCTGTCCAGGGATAGGTCTTGAGTTGTATAGAGACCCCGTCACATCAGAAATACAAGCTGCCATCTTCCCAAGGAAAATAGATCTTCTCAGAATATGAAGCTGGGTGGGAAAACAGGGACACTAGGAATATGGGAAATTGTGAGACAGGAAAACAAGGGAGGTAAAGCAGTAATGAGCACTGCATCTTGCAAAGGGAATGAACTAATACTTTCCTCATAATTCAATGACAATTATGAGTCAGCCACACTGCTGACTTTTCAGAGAGGTAACAGCATATATAAAGCCAAACTCTGATAATATATGGTTATCCAAAGAACAGCATTTCCCTTGAGGTAGCTGTGGTGATAAATGATGAGAAGAGAAAGAGGTATTCCTAGGAGGCCCAGTCTTGGTGCTAAGTGTATAAGGGCCGAGCAGCTAGAATCAGGCAGAGGTTAGAAGCCTGTATTTCCCTACCTATTTTCCCTCATGCTGTCCACCACAGAGTGTGAGCAGATGTGGGAATCACCCCTCCTACATGAAATTTTGACATGATGTTTCCAGACACAAAGAGAGCAGTGTCTTCTTTATTTGAGCTTTGCCAGAAAAAAATCATAGACAAAAATTTTCATATTTTCCAAGGTCATCTTGTTCAAATCCTACTAAAATGACTCTGCAACATCCCTAAAAAAGTGTGAAGCTCCATGTTTCAGAAGTCTTTTTTAAAAACATGCACAAGCCCGGCCAGGCGTGGCTCAGCGGTTGAGTGTCGACCTAGGATCCAGGCTATCAGGGTTTGATTCCTGGTCAGGGCACATGCCCAGGTTGTGGGCTGCAGCTGATCAATGACTCTCTCATCATTGATGTTTCTGTCTCTCTCTCTCCCTCTCCTTTCCTCTCTCTGAAATCAATAAAGATATATTTAAAAAATAAATAAATAAAAATAATTAAATAAATAAATACATGCACAACTTTCTAAGAAACATCATCTAATGTGTGTCATACGTACATGTAGTTTGACTTGCAGTTAACCTCAAACTCTAAGGGCAAGAATTGAGTGATTGTTAAGTGAGAAAGAGGGTCCAGGGATTGTTTTCCCAAACTATAGAAAATATCATATAAGAGGATTAGAAATGCTGTGTACCTTTAACAAATGTTTTGCCTCAGAGATCCTCATACAGAGCTTGAAACCATATCTAGGATAGCCCATGACTTCTCTCATTTCCACCCCAGGTACACATGCAATGTGATTTGAGTTAACCTAGCCTGAGGTGTTTCTATCACTCACCAGACCCCAGGGCAGAGACGCAATTTCTGTGGATTGTGAGGCAGCTGGGGCCTTGTGAGCTTCCCTGACTTGAGCATAGTGCCAAGAGAGCAAGTTTATAAAACACTGGTCTGGATCTCCCTGGAGGCTCACATATATGCCCTGTGGCATAGGCTTTCAATCAAAGTATCAAATGGGCATGTGCCAGGCAGAGCTGCCTATTGCTAATCCTTGTGGGTCTTTGCAGCTCTGCAGATGATATATGATATAAGCATAGAACATGTAGCCTGTTCTGTTTCAGTCTTCCTTTCTTCTCTTCCCAGACTAAGACCTTTTTAGCTCCTTAGAAACGAAGGAGCTGATTCATAGGAGGTGATTAAAAAGGGTTCACCAAGAGCATGTAAAATGGGCCTGGACTTTGTTTTTAAGCTGAAGAGAGAGTGATATAAGATATTATTTCTGGATGCAATAGGTATGGAGCTGGGCAAGAATTGCTTGGGAAATTGAGACAGGAACCAAGTTAGGAATGAGGTAGAGGAGCCAGTCTCAAGGGTACACAGCCATTTGCTAGTTCAGTGACTCACTTGAAGCACTCACATAACTCAAGGCTGAGATTTGATGTAGCAAAGGACACTGTGAAAGACTAGCAGGAAAACATATACATAGGTAAAAGCAAGAGAGGTCACATACAGGCTTCCAAACATTTCTTCTCTGAAAGGGTCTTTCTAGCTGCAAACCTCAGAGACACAGGAGAGATATCCATGCAGGGAAGCCTGCTTGAGTTTTGGAGTCCAGAGTTCTTAAATGGAGCTGGTCACATAAGCCCATATCTGTCACATCATAAATATGTGTAGACCTCAGATCAGGCAACAGGTACACAGAAAAAACTCTATGTTTGTCTCACACATGTTACCCATCTGGTTCATGTAAAGCTACTGCTTTGGGCATAGATAACAACATTATTGCTCAGTAACTATGTGAAGATTCTGGAAGATTATTTTTCAGGGTTTGTTCAAGAGCCATCCATCAACATGTCTACAGAAATAACCAAGAAAAAAACAGATCTGCTGCATTAACTCTTTTCTAGTAAGATATTTAGTGCATTTTCAGAAGTATGCCATGATCTTACTGGACATGAGTTAGAAATATTTTCACTTAGTATATGTGAAATATGACTAGCTTCTAATGTGTCCTAAAAATAATCCTAATCCTACATGACAGAAATAACAAAAAGGGTGGAATTATCAATTCAAAATAAAGTGGGCACTACATGGACCCTTTAATAATAAGGAAAATATTTAAGGGGGAAAATATAGCTGGAAAGATTGAAATAACTTGATAGAGTTATAACAAGTGTTAAATAGGAAGTGTTATTCATTTTGGAGCATGGGCCTGTAATCAGAAACAAAAAATTGAGCTAGAAAATCATCAAAGAATAATAGTAGTTGTGAGCAAAGACTAAGCCATAAATGAAGAGAATCAATGAAAAGGCTTAAACAAGTATGTGTGCAACATGATTATGTTAGATTTTGAAAACTATTTTCAGTTCTGTTTGAAATTGTTTGAGAATGAAGGCTGGAAAGACAACTAGCTGAATGCTAAAATAATGTATTTAATTATTAAGTTCTAACATTTCTGCTATAGTATTCCAAGTTCTCTTTTGAACTAGCTGAGTTTAAAGTTTCCATGTAGCACAGAAAGGGAGTTATCCAGGAGTGAGGCATGAACATGCCTGGAGTTCAGGTCAGAGGTTTAGTTCAAGGTTGAGGAGGGCAACATTTGTATTCAGA